GAGCACAAACTGCTCCATCAATATATGTGATTGGCGAGAGAAGTTGAATTATTTGGCGATTGTTTTAGAGACTTTTAAAAACTAACTTCACCGATGTTCATAAATTTAACAATTTTTAATATGCTTCTAATAAAATCAACAAATAATTTAAAAAAGCTAATTATTTTTGTAAAAATTCATTTGGGAATAATCTTAAATGGAACAAAATTATATTGTTAAAATAAGATCATCCTTTAATAGTTTTCTTCTTGTTGGGAAATATTTTTCTTTACAAAAGATACTTTTTTAAATGACTTTATTTTTATTATTTAAAATACTGATAAAATAATTGCTTAAATCTAATAAGGCTTAAAACTACAAAATACATTATTTCGTTTCATAGGTTTTCTTTAGAACATTTTAATTCTAAAAAACACATTAAAAATAAAAATAATCAAGCTTTTGTTTGATCATTCGATATGCGTGAATTGAATATATATTTTAAAAGGAATATAAAAAGAAGAAAAAATAAATTATTTGTAACAATGTTGTCTTGGGATATTATGAACTTTTCGTCACAATAGTTTTTTTTGAATATATATTTTAAAAGGAATATAAAAAGAAGAAAAAATAAATTATTTGTAACAATGTTGCCTTGGGATATTATGAACTTTTAGTCACAATAGTTTTTTTTAACTACTCCTATTTATTTTTAAATTATTTTTCTTAAACTATCCTCCTTTAAATAACACTTCGTTCTGCTTCAAATTCCTCTATCATAGAAAAAGTTTCAATAGTTTTCATGTCTTACGTGCCTTTTTATTATATATCATATCAACATTGTGTCGTTTTAAGCAGCTTTAAATAGATATATACTTCAAAATATATATTTATTTAAAGCTGCTCCGCTACATATTTCAAAATGTTACCATGAATAACTTGTTAAAATAAACCAATTAAAGTGCATGATACATTTTACAGACTAAAAGATACATTTTGTTTCAAGTATGAAGATTATTTTATGAATATAAATTTAATACGTAAATATTTAAATTAGTTTCATGAATGCTATTGAATAGATGAATGCCGATACCAATATGAATATTTAACTAACTATTATACACAACAAATAACAGCAGGTATCTTGTCTCCTATTTAAAATTCATAAAGTTTTCTAAAGCTTTAAACTGATTCATTAATGATGTTGCTTTCACTTACGTGTTTAAGTATAAAACAAAATCACACTTAACATTCCGTTAACAAAAGCTTTCAAGAACTAGCTTTCAAAATCTACATTATTTACGAACTATCTTGAATAAAATATTGCTTTTCAAAAATGTTTTTGATACAGCTAATTTAATTAAAAGAAATCTCTTTTCTAAATGAAAAAGCAATACCAATGCTTAACTCCGTAGCTTTGTAATTTTGAATCCAATCCAGTAGACAAGGGATCAAGTATTGGGAGACATTTGCTTCCATGGAGGACATTTTGATGGAACTAACCCGTATTCGCATTACATGGGGAGGAAAGGCACGAAACCCTCCCACGGTTAGCCTGATGACAATGGGTCTCTAACCCATAATCCGTCTACCATTGAGGATATTTTACGTCAGTACTGTGGTCCATGCAAGCTGGGTGCGGAATTCGTATCAACCAGCTATCGCTGGGATTCGTACCCAGTTCACCTCTTTGGAAGTGGAACGCTCAATCCCCTGAGCCACCATAACTCCCATTTGATTTATTTTATAACCGTCGTTGAACAGCCGACCGAATATTTTAGGTTTACGACAACTAATGTTCAACTCCGTACCCTTATAATTTTGTACCCAATCCAGATTTCAATGGAATTCTTGGATCAAATATTGGGTGAAAATTGCCTTCGTGGAGGACTTTTTGATAGAACTAACCAGGATTTGCGTTACATGCTGCCGAAAACCACGAAAACCTCCCACGGTTTAGACGACGTCAAGGGGACTCTAGCCCATGATTCGTCAACCAGCACTGTGGTCGGTGCAAGCCGGATGCGGAATTCGTATCTCCCAGCCATCACTAGTATTCGAAGCCAGTTAACCTCATTGAAAGATGAACGGTCTGTCCCCTGAGCCATCGCGACTCGACAATTGATTTATTGATCGGAACTGGTCAGCGATGTGGGGTTGGGGATCACAGTAATACATGTAATATAAAAGAACCTGCATACAATTTTAATTTCTACACTAAAAAAAGAAGTATGATCAAAACTACCAGAGTATGATTAAATTTATCGTGCTTCTGGCTGTATGAGAACACCAAAAAGTTCAGTAATTTTTACCGATTTGCTTTCGGAATGGTTTCGGTTAAATTAACAATAGAATATCGCCTTATAAAATGTGTATAAAATTTCTTAAATTTGGTAAAATGTGGTGATTATATCATGATACTTTAGAGCATGGCATAAAACCATTAATTAGGCTGAACTTGCTTTTTCAGTTTTCTACTTTTTACTAAATGTTTGAAAACCAGATTTTTTGGTAAACCGCTACCACGTGAATGGAAAAATTATTAAATGAATGGTGTAAATACAGTTATATATTTTGGGTTTTGTTACCAGAATTATGGGTTTTTTTACCGTAAAAGTCACTACCATAATGCGGTAATTTTACCAGAATATTTTCTTCCATGTAATTTTTCTTTCTTCGTCGAACTCCCAATACGTCTTTTGTTGAAAAGAAGAGTTGAAATTAATTTTCAAACAATTTTAATACATATTGGGCAAGTGTGACTTATTTTTAAATGCATAATGTTAATTTATTTTAAATGTATAGACGCTTTAAGGCTAGATGAAGAGGATTTAAAAATCCCACATCAATTTAAAGAAGTTGTATTGCAAATACATTTGGTCTCATGTAATTGCTTTGAATTAAACTGCAAGTTTAGCTCTTATGAATATATATTTTTATGAATGACAATAAAAAACATATTTTAGTGTTAAACACAACCGCAAACTAAATAATTCAACCAACAGAGTAAAAGTTGTTTCTATCTTTGTACAATAGCTCTAAATTTAGAAGAAAAAAACTCACTCAACTAGCACTGATTATTGGAGAAGTAGATGTTTTATTAACCACCCTTATAGGCAAAGATTGATTTCCCCATGTCTTCAACACTGTTCATCTGGAACTTGGTACTCTAGTAATAAAGAATCAAAGTACTTGCCCTGTTTTAGTAACGAATATTCTGTACACGAAATCCTAGTATACGTGTACCGGAAAAATAAGTGGTAGAAGATAAAATGAGTGCTTGAGGGAAAACGGTGACATTCATTTATGAACATCTCGTTTTTTCTGAAGTAATGCTTCTTATATGGGCTTTCAGACAAAGTAGAATAAATGGAAGCTTCTTGTTTTTTTCTAACAGAAGAAACTAAAATAAATAACCAGTACTAAACGTTGCAAATATTCAATTAATGATTCGTGTTTTAATATGTTCAATATAATATATCACTCGCATGATTTTGTTGTTGTTGTTTCTAATGCCACTTGCCACACGGGCAAGCCTGCTTGGTGAAACTGAGCAAATTTAAGGCAGAGTGTGAGTTTCTCGTTTTTAAGTGTCGCCATCCCATGGCCAAAAATTCTTCTTCGGCCACACACACGTCACAGCCAGTTTTATAGGACGGACCCATTCACACATTCATTCATTCATCGTAATTTTGACCTGAATCAGAGAACGATCGATCTCCAATCCAGTACCCCCAGAGGTTTTGAATTGTTATGGAACCATGGAGGACTTTGCGACTCGACAGATTTAACGTGCATCAGTAATGTGCACGTTAAATCTGTCGAGCGAAGGTCGTAAGGTAAATCTGTCGAGTCTATCTTGGCGAAGACATACACGGGGAGTCTTCGGGGGGCGGGGTTCGAACCCTCGAACTCTCGAACATGGGCCCAGTTCCCTACCGACCAGGTTATCTCGACCTCCGCATGATTTTATCACTGCTTATATCGCTGAGTGGAGGTTCCACGTGGAATTGAAGTAATATAATTCATCTCCATATCTTTCTTATTTTAAACCAAACTTAAGTCAATTAGCTGTCCAACAAGTTGACGTTAACAAATAATTTATCTATCCAAAGTTAGCTCCATTGTCTTACGGAGTAGATGCAATGTATGCGTATATTTAATATTGTAACAGTTTTGTATTTTATGCTATAAATTTTTATATTGAATCATATTACGTTGTAATATGCTGTAGGGTTTGAACTTGAAACCTTAACTTGAATATACTATTTCCAGCCTACTATTAGGCTGACTCATACATTTAATAACTACAATTATAAGTTGGAAATTATTTTTTAAAAAAAATTACGAGAAAGTATTTAATTCGTAATAAAGAGTATACTTTTTATAATTGTCTAATTAATTTTTTTTTTGCTACTGAAATACTAAACTCTAAAAAAACACCATTCATTACCAAAATTCTAAAAAAAAACTAATGACGAAAAAACAAAAAAGTCATTTTTTCCTAAAATAATGCATGCTTAATTTTGTAAAATGTGAACTTTTATTTACAGTAATTTAAAATTAAAATATCTCAAAAGCTTTTTTCCTCCCGTGTTAAAATGTTCCTCGGTTCTAAATCTCCGAACAAAGCCAAAGTTTTTTTCTCTTAATTTTTTGCTAATAAAGAAAAAATTTGATTTTTAACTAACTTCTTTAAAAAAAGAAATAAAAGCTATGTGTCATTAAAATTTTGCCTATTCATATGACTTATTTTATTCATTCAACTTTTTTTCCTTTTTAAACAAAACTGTAAAAAATTAAAGCTTCGTTTTTGGTTAAAACTGTTCTTAACCGATGAGCATTAGAAAAAAAAATACTTTTTTAAATATCGAAAATTTAAGGTACATAAGAAAATTTTAATGTATTATTCTTTTGATCCTTTATAGACGTAGGCCATGATGAAATTTCAAAGCATGATTCTACTGTGATTTCTGTACTCATAACCAAAATTGTGGTAACATTTTTTTCTTGTTTTCTAGGGAAATGAAAGATAGTTTCCGGAATTCTCTTCGCATGACGATAATGTCGATGTGGAGGCGGAAATATTTATTGGTATCTGGATGTTTAGTATGGGCCGTTTTCTACCTTTATTTACATTATTCAACAGTTCCCGAAGAAGTTGGATATACAGCTGACGGAACTTCAGTAAAACACCCCATTGATGTCAATTTCATTGAACATACGGCTAAATTAGTCACTAAAGCTACAAAGCCACTAAAAATAGATAATAAAAACCTGAATAAGGACAATCCTCCTCCTGTTCAGACAATAACTTCTGGAAGTATTCCTGAATCTCATTACAAAGGAATGACCGAAGAAGAAATACGTATTCACCGCATGAATGAAGAGTTAGAGAAAAAGAAACACAGTCAAAAATCTATACGGGAGAAATATATGGAACAGGGAATAAAACCAACTTCAGTATTGATGAAAGCGAAATACAAATCTATGCGTACTGAAATACCAAATATTACCACAACGGAAAAACCACCACTGTATATCCCTCCCTTAAGATTAGTGCATTTTGATTTGAAGGGTGCTCCTCCGAAAATTACTTATTTCAAATCCATCTTTCCTCTTATTAGAAACGCTGGTGCTAACGGTATTTTAATGGAATACGAAGATACTTTTCCATTTTGGGGTCCTCTTTCCTCTATAGCTGCGTCGAATGCTTATACTAAGAAGCAAATAAGATACATCTTAGAGCTAGCGAAAAATAATGATCTTATCATTATTCCACTGGTACAAACATTTGGTCATTTAGAATTCGTTCTTAAACTTCCGGAATTCAAGCATCTTCGAGAAGTTGAAGATATTCCCCAATCTTTATGTCCAACCAATAACGGCAGTTTAAACTTGGTAAAAATTATGATTGGTCAAGTTATGTCTCTGCATACAGATTCGCAATGGCTTCATATAGGTAGTGATGAAGTGTACCAATTAGGTCATTGTTCACGATGCTCGAGATATGACAGAAATAGTTTATTTCTTGCCTACGTACGAAAAGTATCTAGATATATCCGAGATACTCATAAGGTGACTCCAATAATGTGGGATGATATGCTAAGACACATAACAGTTTCTGAATTGGAGAAATACGAGATGGGGAAACTAGTTGAACCAATGGCCTGGTCTTATGTAGAAGATGTTTATTTATTCCTACCAAATAGTCTTTGGGAAAAATACAGCCAAGTGTTTCCTTTTATTTGGACTGCAAGTGCTTTTAAAGGTGCTTTCGGAGAAACTTTAACAGTCCCTGATGCTAAAAGACATTTAGAAAATAATAAAGCATGGCTAAGCGTAATGAGTGAACAAAATAGTAGTTTTAGAGGCTTTAGAGGAATTGCAATAACAGGATGGCAAAGATACGATCATTTTGCTTCTCTGTGTGAGCTTTTGCCAGCGGCTATTCCTTCTCTTTTGCTAAATGTTATTACTGTTTCACAAGGAGAGTTTACTAAAGAGGTATTTCCACGCATGCAAGAGCTTCTAGAATGTTCGTCTCGCATCCATTACCATTTAGATTTAGAACATGATCCAAATATGTGGCGAGCTCTTGGTGTATGCTTCTTTCCCGGTTCTGCTGTATTTAGACTTACTCTTCGTCACAACGATGTTGCCAAATCTTTAGACAAATATATAAATGATATTACTGTTCATAAGGGCTGGATGACGGAATATAATCGTAATCATAATTTTTCCAGTCCATTACGAGTGAATGAGTTATTGAGAGACTTTAGCTATTATAATTCGTCTTTACAAATGCTTCAAGATGCTGCTGTGAAGGCTTTGAGAGAAATATATGAAGATGATACAGTCTCAGAATGGATTGAACTGAACATATATCCATTTACAAAGAAAATGAAGGAAATATGGAACCATGGCTTAAGGCTGAAGAAATATCAAACATGGCCACGAAGGCCACTCCCCAGAATAATAGATTTACCTTCCCCACCAAATATAGACTTAAGTATTATGACTTCCTGAAAGGGGGTTATTATTATTTATTTATGCCTTAATGTGATTGGACTTCTTATTGTATCATTATTGGTGAGATCGTTGAAAAAATCAAACATGTAATTAAGAACACAAACTTTATGTATGTTGAAGAGAAAATATATATAATTACGTGACAAATTGTATTTATCTAGGGTGCTCCGTAATCACCTTCCTTAATGCATTTTTTTTTTAAATCCTTGTCAAAAATTTACACATATATTGGATCGTTTTTATGTAATTATTGTTTAAGCGATTAAAAAACAAAACGCTTCTCAAAAATTGACAAATCAGTTGAAAAAGTTATGAAACAAAATCGATGGGGTACGAGGGTTCCAAATCGGAGGTTTTAGTTGCGTAAAAGGGTGTTATGCTCTCTGTGATTCGTATTAAATGTGCATGCTTCAAATAATTATATACGGGTGTCGAACTTGGGGCCTCCATCATAGAGGTGGATGATATATGTTCCATTACTGACCTTTAGTCGTCTGACTGTCGCATTCTGTGATAACAGTTATAAAAGAAAAATAATTTTCAATAATAAGAAAATAAGCAAACTCTTAAAATTAAACTGTTCAACATTGTAACGTAACTGCTCAGCAGCTCATATTTTTAATAAATATTTAATTTAAAAATTCTTTCGTTAAAAGTCACTCAAAAATCTGACTATTCAGGTCATTTATTAAAAGAAATATGAATAAATCTTCATTTTTTTTCAAAAATCATTTTTAACCAGCTTTATAGGAGATATATTCCGCTGAATCGTTAAAGAAAAAAGTGTGATAAAAACGTAAAATCCTGTTTGATTGCTGGGAAAATTTATAAAAGGTAAAGAGTGATTATCAGAAATGCCTCGATATTGCTTCTGGCAATTAGTCTTATTTTTATAATGCTTACACCAGCTTCCTTAATAGGAAATCATCAAATTTTGGATTTTAAAAACATGGATTTAAGGCAGTGATTACGGAATATTCTGTGTGTTGAAGAAAAATCAAATTTAATCAATTCTATAAAGGAATTTCATATCGAAAACAAAAGTAAAACGTATATTACACGTTTTAAAAAAATCTAATGTGCATACACTACTTTTATTATCATATAACCAACCAAAAGAAAAATGATCCCAGCTCTTCTGCAAGTTTTGATTTCGATATGGTTTTCCAATTTGGCTTGACAAATAAAGTAACTAAGATAAAACATCAATAGATTCATGACTTCTAATAATTTTTATCTATATATCTTCAAATCTTAAAGTAAATGAACAAGCATTGTTTGAAAACATCATAAAATATAGTTAAGACATTGTCTCTAATAATTCTATTTATTATATATCTTCAAATCTTATGATAAGTTAACAGATTAAATCTTGTTTAAAATATTGTTTAATAATATTGTTTAATAATATCGTTTAATAAAAATTGTTTAATAATATCGAAAAGCATAATTAAAAGCATTATGTTCAACTCTCAAAATTCTCATCTAAATTTATAATACTTTTCATGATTAGTAAAATTAGGTAAGAAGCATAAGAAAAATATGTTGCAAAATGTGTTAAATATGATAAGAACAGTTATTCAAAGATAAAATTTTAAAACCTTGAGTTTATGAACTCTTATAAATGCTATTGTTATTATTATTAATATTTTATGTTCCATCAAATTGATGATATATAATCTCATATCTCGTTGAAAAGTGGTGATCATTCTTTTTAATTGAAAGAGAAGTGTTCGGCAATTTTACTTTTAATTCTCTTATTAACAGAAAATTTTGGAATGAATTCTTGAAAATCATGACAAATTTCATGACGATGCATTATTTTCAAAATTATTAAAGTATAAAAAAATACTTAATGATATCAAATTCTAATTTATCCAAGCTGTACAGATAAAAGTATGTTTTTATAAAAGCTTTATGTTGTAACTTTTATAAAAATGTGCAATTTGCATTCAATCTCAAATTATAATATAGACTTAAAATATTAAATTATTGAATGAAAAATTACAAATTATATTTTGCATTTTGTGAAATAAGTTTAATAAATATTGTTAAGTTAATATATGCGTGGCAATAGTATATTTTCTAAATCTTAGAATATTATTTTTTTCCTTAGTTAAAAATAAAACTAAATATTGTCATTGTATTAATAATTTTCATATCAAAGCATTGTGATATATCTGAAACCTGTTTTATATATGTTTCAAAAATTATTGAAGTTCGTACAAGTTTTTAGATTGCTAAAATTTATATTTTAGTACTTTCCTTTTTTTCCTTAGTGGTAAGAAAATGTAATTTAAAATAATTCGGTTAAAAGTTTCATAGATGATATTTAATGAATAAATTATTAATTTAATAATTAAGAAGGGTTTTTTAATCATAATACACATTACTCCCCTCTTAGTTTGAAACAAAATTGGATTTAGTTCAAAAATTTTTCATTAGCATAACATTTATAAGAGTGCTAATATTTTAAATATATTGCTAACAATGTTGAGAAGGCGTTGTGCTTCTCAAAAGTATTTATAAATTATCTAAAATGCATATTTTGAATTTTTACGAATTGAAATCATCATTAACTTTTGAGTATTTTCTAGTATTTAAATTGTCTTAAGCATTTCAAAAAAATAAAGGCAAAATATGGACATTTTTTTGTAAATTTGCCTTGTATCCTTATTTTTTTTTTTTTTAAAAAAAAAAGTAGTTTTAAATCAAATATTTGTTTTCTTTGATTTCTGTGTTGCGGAGATATTTGCAAAATAAAGTATTCATTGCACGCTAGCATGAATATATTTATTATAGCTAAATTATATTTGCACAAATTGCATTGTATAGCTTCTAATGAATTCTGTGAATTCGTTATAGAATTTCATGTTGAAAAGCTTCATCATCATGCTGAAAAAGGCGTCATCTATTACATGCAATAGGGGCCAATATCTAACAATTGATATACATGACTAGCATTTCGAAATTATTTTACTAACAATATTTTTTTTAATATTTGTTAAAGATTGTAATATGTAGCATTACTTTATTCATATATTTAAATCGAGTCAAATTTGCTAATAAATCATACCTAAATGATGAGTATTTGTTGCAGTGCTTGCCTCCAATTAATTGTAAAGTAGGTCATCTTCAGTTTTCACCAAATAAAACTTTAGAAAAATTTTAAATTCTTTTACACGTGTATTTAAAATTAAAAAGCAGATAGGCTTATCATCCATATAGTGTATGTTTTTATTGCTGAAGCTTTCTGTCTCAATAGCACGTAATTAAAATAATATAATAAAAAAATGGTAATGTGATCTTTTATCAGCATTTTGGCATAGAGTGAATCTATAGCTGAAAGATATTTATAAAATTATAATTTAACACACGTTTCTTATATGAATAAAATTGTATTTAGGTATTCACATTTCAAACTAAGATGTTTCTGGCATAAATACATGGTTACAAAACATTTTTATAGCAAGTATATTTGTTAATTTCATGTATTTTTGATTGATTAAAATACCGTGTCATTAACTGTAATTTCTACCTTTGCGAGTAGCTTTTTGAGACGAACTGAAGACCGGGCTTGGCTCTGTCTCGGGTGAGAAAAAAATTTTCATGAACTTTTTTATTACTTTTAAACAAACGTTTGATACAATTATTAAGTATAAAAAATGCAAAATTCATTAATTAATTGTCATAATCTAGCCGGCTGAAGAATCCTTGTGTATAAATGGTGACTGGTGCACGTTAAATCTGTATGAGTCACAATGTTCTTCAAGTTCCCATGGCAAATCAATACCTCTGAGGTGCTGATCCAGGAGTTCCCTTGTCTTCTTGATTTGGTTCGAAATTACAAGGCTATGGAGTTGAACATTGGTAGTTTTAAACTCAACTTTGGGTCACCTGTTCAACGACGGCTATAAAATAAAATTAACTATAATAAAAATATTTTAATTACTAATATCCTTATTTAGGTAGCAAATGCCTAATTGTAAAACTGCAAAATTTGACTTTTATCTCGACGAACTTGGGCTCTAAGTAATGCTATTGTATCTAGGACTTGGATTTAAATACTTTGGGCTCGGATCTCCAAAATTGAGCCTAAACTCATCTCTAGTAGCTTTTGACCAAGATACAAATGCAGATTTTGTGTGGTGTACCTTTGTTGCTCATTTTTCTAACTAAATATTATTCGTAACATTAATTAATAACTCTTTTTAATATCCTGGGTCTGTAAAATACAGCTTCAACTAGGGAGAATTTAGCCCAATCTCGGATAAAAGATTTTATTTTCCGTACTTTGCTAAAAGAGGGTGATTATCATTCATTTATTGCACCAATCAGTGAATGCAAAATACAGGTGATAATCATTTTTCCTATTCTAACTACAACACATACAATTTTTTAATTTATTACGGTGAAGTTACCCGCAAAAGCCAAGTTATTGCAGTTGACGGTAGATTTAATTGATAAAATGTATTTACTCATCAAACTAATTAATATCTAATTAAAGATCATGAATTAATAAATTTTGCAATATACAGCTTTTTATTTGGTGGATACTAAAGTCTGATTCAGATAAATGTATAAAAAAATATAAGTAACTTTTCTTTTCAGGGATTCACTGAACTATTCATCTCTTTCTGGTATAATTTGCTACAATGGTAGTTTTTTTTTACAACTATATCAATAACTAAAGTCAAAGCTTTAAACTTACTATAACCTTGATCTGATTAAAGTTGCTTAAAACAGCATTTAATTACACAAGTGGGCGACCTTTGTGCTTAAATACAAACTAAGGTAAACAACGTTTAGGAGCACAAAAATATTTATAAATGCAGACAACTGTTTCGGATGCTCAAAGGGCATCCTATTGCACTGATGAAGGTTGCCCTTTGAGCATCCGAAACAGTTGTCTGCATTTATAAATATTTTTGTGCTCCTAAACGTTGTTTACCTTAGTCAGCATTTAATTGTTATGCGTAATTTAAACAAGTAATAGTAACAGTCCATGTTAGTGCTAATTTAACGTAACAGAAAGCTCAATGAAACATATATCTAATGTTTTCTACCTTGTTTATGTCTTCTTAAATTTCTTTTCAATTAAGACAATAGCATCTGTCTAAAACATATTGATATTCAATATATTTAATCAAAAGCTATGTATGTAAATAATTCAAAAACTTAATTGTTTGTGATAAATAGGATTTCTGTGTACAGTACATCATATTTAAGCACATTCATTAACTGTAACAGAGTATCTGTTAGCACTGCACTGATGTTCCACTATTGTATTAAAAATTGAAGCTTCATAATATTGAGTGTTGTTCCAGAAAATGATGCATTTAATGTGTCTTTATTCTAAAAAATAAACGTTGGATTGTTGTTATTACTTTATGTGTAACTTTTTGTGAAATAGTTGAAAATAGTATATATAAAAGTAAACAATAGTGCATTAACATTCCTTTGTTGAATTTATTTACAACCTGTTTGTTGAAATCCATCCTATATATAAAAATGTATTTTATATAAATAAAATCATTTATAAAAATAATTGTTTTATTTATTTTCGGCCTTTTTTTAAACCTCTTCTAATTTATTTCGAGAAAAATCAAAAATAATATCGTTATTTTTTATCTCCTTCTTATGGGTCATTCTCACTGAAAAGGTAGAAATAGACTGAAAATTTTTCTTAAATTAAAGCAATTAAAAAAGTCTATTTTAGTTCTATTTTATTTTTTACAAGATTTAAAATATTTTAAATTCTGCCTTGTCCACGGAGGAGATGTAATAGTCAACGGAGGAGACATTTTATGTTATAAAATGTCAATGAATTCATTAATTATTGGGTACAACTGATATGAGTTCAACATTAATAAGTAAATAATAAAATATTTTATTATCAGAGATAGAGCTACTTCCGATTAATAATGCTGCTATGAAAGGAAACATCCATTTTTAACCTAGGTATACAATTTTTTAAGTAACTCTTACTGTATATTAATAAATTAAAACGTAAAGACTATTGAAATAAAAATTCAGACTCCACATGAAAGTTGAGTGTTGAGGGTACTCTTCTATGAACATTTTATGCAAGTTAAACACACCGTCATCCAAATAACGTTTTTGTTTTTTCTCTTTTCCTCTTGTTATTGTTTCTTTTTCCCTGGGCACAGACGGCTTGTTTTTTCTGTTCCCTTCTCTTTTGCATTTGAACATTTGATTGCCTTCTTTTTTTATATTTTGCTTTTGCCTTTTTTTTCCTAAAATTTGAAGAGAAAAAAAATGTTAAACATCACAGAAATTATTTAGAAAAATTGCCAATATTTACTTCTCCGATAAGAAAATGTTAAACTTAATTGATTTTCTTTAAAAAAATAAACAAACTAGCACATTTGTTCAATTTTAAAAAATATCAATTAAAAGAAAATAGTTTTTTAATTATTAAAATTGTATTATGGTTATCAAACACATTATCTCTTCCATTGACTGTGTCTTCTCATCCGTGGACTTGTTATGTCCACGGAGGGGACGTCCACGGAGGAACAAAAACTAGTTC